TAAAGTGAAGGGTAATTTTGTAAACAAACAACTTGTTCTTAAAATTTATCAATATATATTATTTTGAATATAACAAACCAAACACTCAATAAGAAATAATCCCAGGACAACTTATCCCATCATAACTAATCCCAACATAACTTATCCTAACATAACTTATCCCATCATAACTCATATTCAAACCAAACGACCCCTAAGGTATTAAAAAATTAACATTTTAAAATTGCTAGAGATTTTCCTTAGAAGAAAAAATAACTAAAATATTTATTATTTGAAAATGATATTTATGATCAAAGTATTAATAAATTAGAAATATATTAATTCTTTTATAAATTTTTATATTTGGCTTAACTAAATAACACATCATGTGTTTTTTATTAATTTTCTATTTAAAACTTACAAATTATTTAGGTCTTCTCTTTTTTTTTTTTTGAGAAGTACGAAAAATAATTAGGTAATTTATGTAGTTTACTTCTATATTTTATCATCCTAGTATGAAATAAATCATACTCCATTTTAAGCCAACATTATTTTTATTTTACTTCACAATCAAATTACAAAATTCTCATATGTTTTTCATTTTTTTCTTCTAGAAACTTCCTTCTTGTGATTTTCACTTAATAATTTTTAAAAAAATATTATGTAAACTAGTAAAATTACCGCGCTTCGCACGGGAATTTAATATCACGGAATTTATAAAATAATACTTAAAATCTATCCGTCATTAAAACTAAACACTATATTATCTTACATACAAGATTGCGTAGTAACAAACATTAAAAATGTAAAGGAAAATGAAAATTATTACATCTTATTATTTATCCTTAACAACATAAGCATAAATTAATGATTGTAAAAATACATACCAGGATTTGTAACATAAGCAATGGTGTCAGCGAGCCACTCAACAGGAGCAAAGTACACAAATATTTAATTGTGAAGAAGAAGAAGTTCAGAATTTTCATTGTTTTAAAATGAGAGGAAATCTCTCTATTTATAGACAACAAATGGTAGTGTGAACAAATGTTTATTGTGCCTTATCGGAAATGTTACAACTATTTGGAAAAGTTGCAACCCTTCGGAAAGGTCACAACATTTCATAAAAGTCACAACTTTTCATAAAAGTCGCAACTCTTCATTAAAGTCGCAACTCTTCATTAAAGTCGCAACTTTTCATAAAAGTTACATTTTTTCAAAAATGTCACAACTTTTCATGAAAAAGGAAGACTAGTTTTGGAAATAAATAAATTAAAAGGAAATTCTAGTTTGTGATGGCGCCACGTAGGCGGGTCTAAGGTTCTCTTATATAAATATATATATATATATATATATGATTATTCATAAAATGAAAATATTATACTCTTGTGAATTTTTTATTACTATTCTGTTACGTGTATAATTAAATTAGACTATTAAAACAATGTTCATCATCTCATTTTTTAAAAGTTACTTAATAGTAGCAATATTATATTGAAACATTAATAGTTCAGATATGAAAAGGATTAAGAAAATGATGTATTAAGCTTGTGTTTTTCCAGCTAACTCGCATGCGGTTATCCTTTTATCGATTAAAGAGTTCAACTCTTTTTTTAAGAATAGCATCTCATAATGTTTTAAAAGGAAAACACAAAAATAAGCATCGTTAAAGGAACAAATTTTTCAATCAGAATATAAATTTTCAATGCTAGAAATGTAAAAAATTGGATTTAGCAATGTGTGGTATTCCCCCTTAATTTTGAGTATGCGAAAATTTTCTCCATGGATAATTAATATTTTTTTCTAGGAGTAATTTTCCTGTATAGTCATCATGTTTGGGAAATTACCTAGGAATATTACTTATGTTTGTTTTAGGACCACAATATCACCCAACTTTACCTATTTTCCTCAAAATATACTTGACACAAAAATGAACAATGTGACATGGCATCCTATTAGGAGAGAGATAATGTTTTTTTTGTGTCAAGTATATTTTGAGAAAAAGAGATAAAGTTGGGTGATATTGTAGTTCTAAAACAAACATAAGTGATATTCCTAGGTAATTTCTCAAACATGGATGACTGTCCAGGGAAATTACTCCTAGAAAAAAATATTAATTATCCATGGAGAAAAATTAAAAGAGCTCATTAGCAGCATGTAAGTAAATATGTTGTTTGCCGTTGAGGAATCCATCAACTTCGTACAATTAAACGAGCTCATTAGCTCTATATATATGATTACAATACTCTAACTTATTCGCAAGCAAACAATATAATCAAGCACAGAAGATTAGTAATCAGTAGGTGAATTCTATAATCGAAAACACAAAATTCACTAGCATGTAGGTGAACTGTATAACCGAGCATACAAGACTCACTAATCCGCAAAGGTCAACAAATAATCAAGTAGCCTGAAAGCATGCAACTAGCTATAAACGATATATACGAATAATCTCTATTTAGTATTTAAGCATTGAGTCGTTATCAATAGAGAGTACACGTCACAAATAATAAGAATATTAAGTAGGGCAGATAACATGATCAAATGTGGTTAAGAATAGTTTATTACAATATTCTAGACAAATTGCTCTTAATCTCTAAAAAATGTCGAAAGAAGGGAATAACCTTAATTACTCCTCACAAAGCTTTACGAAGTTATGTCATGCTCTTATGCCATATATGTTGGGTTTTAAAAGGTGTGAATGTAAAATGAAGAGTTGTGACTTTTATGAAGAGTTGTGACTTTGATGAAAAGTTGCGATTTTTATGAAGAGTTGTGACTTTTATGAAAAGTTGCGACTTTTATGAAAAAGTTGTGACTTTTATGAAAAGTTGTGACTTTTATGAAAGGTGGTGACCTTTCCGAAAGATTGTGACTTTTCCAAAGGTTTGTGAGCTTTCCGATAAGGCACAATAAGAACTTTTTCACACTACCTTTTGTTTTCTATAAATTGAGGAATTTCCTCTCATTTTAAAAACAGAATATTTCTGGACTTCTTCTTCTACTACTAAATCTAGTATTCTAAGTGTACTTTACTGCCGTTGAGTGGCTCGCTGACACCAGCGTTTTAGGTATCAATACACTGGTGATTGAGATCATTCTATCCTGGGAGGACATATTCCAAATCAAACCTCGGATACTAGAGGGGAATAATTTCCTTAAGAGGACACGGTGCATTAAGTGGGCTTGATCTTCTTTCTGTTTTTCCAGATTCTAGAATACAAGATGAACAACAATATATAAACAAGGAATTACACTTTCAACAACAACTCAAAACATATAACAACTTGTCGACAACTAGTTTAACTTATTTTAACAGATTGTGTTACATTTGCCGTTGCTTTTTGGAGCAATGCAGTCCATTGTTTTTCGTTCGTCATTTTTTTGCTTTTTTTAGTAGTGCTTTGAGGAGGGTTTTCTTGAAACTCCTAAGATTGTAGATTAAGATCTTGTTAAGAATCTATGTATTAACATTAGAATAAATTAGAAGTTCATGGAATAACCTCAATTTGATGTGGAATGATGAGGAGAGGAGATCAACACTGTGTTAGAACTCAAAGAAGTGAAGAATGAAGTAATTTTTTTTTAAAAAATGTGCATGCATCTATTGTCATTCACATGTATCTAGATTATTTTTAAGTTGATGGTCAAATTTTTAGTCAATGCATTGCATGTTTATTTGAACATAAATGCGCAATGATGCGTCACATACCATCACGACGAATTAGACAAGTTAATCCCAAAGTCATTAAATTATTGATGTGTCACCACTCAATCAATTTATATAAATCTATTCATTAATTTTTTTGTTATGAAATTTTATTTGGAGTTAAATTTTAAAACAACAAAAGTAAGTGATTTTTTAAAAAAATTATTTTTAGTTGAATGACTTTCCAAGAGGTACCTTAACTATAGTTTCAAAATTTATCAACTCAATTTTTTGTTTTTTATATAAAAAAGATAAGAAATCAACTCAAAGATAGCCTTGTCATATTATATCATATCTCATAATTCAATGCTTATGTAATTAGCAAATCGTTTTCATATATTTTCTAATTCTAATAATAAAACTAACCTCATTATTGGAAGGAAACAATATACTATATGACCTTTCCATATTGTTTTGGTACAAAAACAATTCTAAAATACGATTGAACAAGTTGAAATTTTAAAATAGAAATTTATAAAAAAAAGGAAGCATAATGAAAAGGAGGAGTAATGGGACCTATCTGACGTGGTATCTACACTGCGGCAAGTGGGCCCACAATGCTGATGGTCACTTGTACCTAACGTTGCTATCAGAAATATCTCAACGCACGTATATATATATTTAGATACAATACATTTTATTAACGATATTTACGTTAAATTAATAAATATAATAAAATGAATTCACATACAAATTGCAAATGTTTAATTACGTAATATTTATACACATTTCATTAAAATATTTGATTATAATAAATTCAAGCATAAATACCGTATACCCTTTACACTTTGTTTGGTTGGTTATTATCACTATATTGAATTGTGTTTATAATTTAAATGTTATATTTGTTTTGAATGGTATCTAAATTTTATTATATAATATGATTAAATTATTGTGATGTAACAATTGCTTTAGTGTAGTTATTTTGTTATTTTATCTTTATTATATATATATATATATATATACATATAATTTTTTTTTTATAGCCTTATACATTTTTTAAATTATAGATTTGTCATTCATTCTGTGTAATATTACATAACATAAAAAATGATATAAACTACTTTATATCACATTCATTAAAATAATATGATATGATATAATATAACATAATACTTTCCTTATTTTATATTACATGGCTCCGATTATCTTAATTTATTGTTTTAATTATGAAATCAAATTTTTTCAATTATATTTTATCCTTTTTATTAAATAATTACACATTAATATATCATAGTTATGATTATGAAAGAAACATCTAAACAAAGGGTAAGTAAATATTTATTTAGCTATATAGGAGTATTAATTTCTTCACTAATCTTAAGTCCAATCACTTCGCCGTTGATCAGAAAACTCACTCTTTCTCTCTCCATTTTGTTCATGGCTATCGCTAACGCTTTCTGCACTTCTCTCCGATCGGCGATCTCCGACGCCGATTCCGGTGTGTACTCTCCTAGTCTTCCTCAATTTACTGCCTCCAAGTTGCACTCCTCTGCCGTCTTTCACACATTTTCCAATTCTGGCGTCGCCGTTTCTCGCCGTAGAAGGTAAGTTACAAACTTGAACATTTTCCTTGTTTCCTGATATACGATTCGGTTTAACTTCAAAGTGTCGCTGTGTGTTTATATGAGTTTAGGTAAACTTAGTTGAAGATTTCGTGTAAAGGTTTGAGCTACTTATTCGAATCGTATTTACCTGAGAAGCATTTTGGTGAATTAAACGTACGTATAGAATCTCTTCGCTATATAATTGAGGGAGAACTGAAATTGGTACTTAATTTGGTTTCTAAGAAATCATCCGACTGTTTAATTTTTGGCATCTAGACTCTGGAGTAGCAAATGAATAATCTTTTTTTCTTTTTGATAAGTGAAACTGTAGTAGTTAACGATTTCCAGTTATTAAGTAATTAAATATACGTTTGATTGGTTATCTGACAAATTTTAGGTGTCTTGTAGGTACACTGTTTTGTGCACTCTTGATGGTGTTGATAGTTTGTCACCAGCATTAGTGAGTTTTGTATCTCTTTTATAGCTAGTTTACCTTGAATAATCATATTTTTATGCGTTAAAATGATTGCTTGAACGTCTCGATTTTACCTATAGGCAATAAATAAGTACGTGAATCCTGTTTTGTGCATCTTTTTCTCATTTGGATATTAATTTTGTGCATTTTTTAATCTCACTAGATGTAATTTATCTAATTTTATCCGACTTTGATGACTGGTTTTCATAGACTGTTACTGAAATAGTTGAAGTACTTTCTGTCTCATGGATTGTCTTGGGAAACTCTTAAAGCAATCAGGAATTTATCCTAGTCTTCAAGGAGCTAGCGACTTCAGGAATTTTAGTTCTTTGCTTAACTGCATGTTGTTGAGGCTTTTAAGTAATAAAATCAAATGAAACATGTCCGAATCTTCTATTTATCTCATAAATCACATTTTGAGTTCGAGATACTTGTGAGAATAAAAACAAAAACATGGTTGATGCATTTCCAGTGTGATGATGCAGCCGGAGAAAAAGGGGAAGCGTTGTGTTAGGTGGTAGTTGTTTGACATTTGCTTGCATTTGTCAAAATGCACTGCCTTCCGAAGTTGCATCTTGGCAGCTGAAGATAAGTAACAACAATTTAACACAGAAACTGCTGCTTTTTATCATGGTGTTGGGTGAAACAAATGAATACTCAGTGAAATACTACAATGGACTAATGGCTGATGGAGGATAGAAGAAGTGGAGAAACAAGAGCGAGCCATTCTTCTATAGAAGATTAAAAAGAAACTAAACTACACGGTTTAAGCTGACAATGGCTTTGAATTTTTTTTTCTATTTACCAACACCATAATTTAGTGATTTCTTGTAAACTTGCAGCAAATGTTAGTGACATCACCATTTGTTGGAAATATAATCATATTACGGGGTGTGAAATCATTTAGAAATGGTATCATTATTTTCCTTATTGGATAAATTCCTTAAGAAGTGTTGGCAAAATTAAATGCTATTTATAGTTTTACTGAATATTCATAATCATGAACGCGGAAAAAAAAGAAATACGGAGATTTGAAAATCTCCTGTTTCTCCAATCATTAGTATCTTTCTTTTATACTTTTCTGATATTTTACTAGATCATCATAGTGATTCTATATTTTCCTTTCAGAAAGACGAACAGGAATCTGTTTCTATTCCTTTGCCAATTGTTCAGATAATTCAGGATCCTGAATGCGATGCAACCACTGTGGAAATTAGCTTTGGTGATCGGCTAGGTCTTCTCATTGACACGGTAAATTCTTTGAACCACCATTCCTAGCCTGGTATGCCAATGTACACATGCATGTTTCTTGTTTGCTTCCATATAAATGGAATTTTGTGAAGGTTCTTCTCCATCTGATGCCGAATTTTGAAAGACAGGGAAGAGATATAAGATATACAACCATTGGAATCTGGACTTCCTTGTCATAACCATTTCCACTTGTACATTAGTTGAGGACGTTATATACAAAGACCGGAATCAGGTCTTCCTTGTTGACATAGCCATTCTGCTTGTAATATTCGTTGTTTGTCGGATTCCATATCGTCCTGTTGAGAATGCTCTGTGAGAGGCCTAGAGATATCATTTTCCATTGAGATACTTTCCTGACTGATAAACACTTAAATGGACCTACATCATTATATATGTTTTTTAAAAACAATTGATTTTAGTCACACACCCCCTTAGGTTTCTGATTTTTGTTGTTTACTGGCCACTATCAGTTTTTAGCAGATAGAGTTTATCACGATTGTTAATACTTGCCTTATGCATTTTATACACGAGAGAAGATTTGTTGGATAACTATTTGGATGAGACTCGTCTGCTTGCCTTTCACTATTGGTATACCCATACATTATTTTTGCAGACTATTTCCTTTTCCAGGGTCTAGTGCTTTTAATTTTGCTGTCTTGACTTCTCCTCAAGTATACATAGCCAACTAGTTGATCTTGTATGTTTTGCAGATGAAGGCACTCAAAGACTTGGGCTTGGATGTTGTGAAAGGAGTTGTTACGACCCAGGATTCAGTGAAAAAGACACAGTTTCTTATTACACGATTGTAAGTGTGTAGATTAACTTTTACTCAATTGAATATGTGCATTGGGATGTTAATACTGGAATTAGATTTTCTGAATATTTGTAGTAGTTTGTGATTTATATTCTTTCATTCATATTATTTATAAGAAAAGATGTTTGCTAATCATTTTGGCTATTTGTCATTTTCTTCACACTTCTGCAAATTTTGAGCATTAATCAGTGTGGTCTGCAATGCAAGTTATCTGATGGAAGGCATTTTGCATATTATTCTTTAACTTCTTTATCTACTTGCTTTGATACTGTTTGATTCTGAATCTTCTCTATAGTATTTGAGAAATATATGGGAATTGTTGAAGATAATGCAAGTCAAATTAGCCGAATAAGAGCAATGATGTTGGATTATATGTTGCATATTTCAAGGTTGCATAGTTGAAACCCTAATGGTAGATGGAACAAGGGGTAAGTATGCCTGTAAAATGATTTACCCTGTAGCATGTATGTCCTGTTGTGAAATGATACAGAAATGGTGGACGTCCAATAGCATGCTGTGATGACTACTTGTAACTTTCTCCAAATGTGTTCATCTTCATATCTATTTTCTATGAGAAAGACATGCGGTGTTACTCCATAACTTCCCTCTATCTCCAGTTAATGATATCCCTCCATGTCTGTCTTTTGGCATATGCCATTACATTTTCAGCTTAGATGCCATTGATTGTTGCTCTCCAGGGATACCGGGCGCAAAGTTGAAGATCCTGATTTATTGGAGAACATTCGTTTGACCATAATCCAAAACCTTATCAAGTATCATCCAGTATGTTTCCTGAACTTCCCTTATATAATCTCTAGAAACATCTTGAACCTATACATGCCATCCTGATTGATCTATCCTGTGATAGAGTAATTGTTCATGTTTTCATGATCCTTAGCTTGCTATTGCAACCCTTAAAGTAGAATGTTTTATGTTTATCAGGAGTCCAGCGAGCGGCTTGCTATGGGTGAGGCTTTTGGAATAAAAGCACCCAAAAAGAAGGTGAAACATTCAGATAATTTAGTTGTTTCCTCTCTTCATCCCAGGGCCTCTATGTCAATACAACAATTATGCCTCAATCATAAGCTAGGAGGGTCGGATGTATGAAATTTGTTTGGACCTCTTTCGACATCTACATACTTACAAAATTTCAAGTATTTTACAGCTATTGTTGATATAGATGTATTGATGTTATCAAACTGTTTGTTGGTGAACTGCTGCTGCTACTACTACTATAATTATCAACATTATTATTATTATTATTATTTATTTATATATTTTTAAAATATTATTATTTCTTTGGTGGAGGGAGCCATTTAAATAAACAAGGTTGCCACTTCCCTGTGCCCCTTCAAATGCATGTGTTCTGCTTTAAGTTCTATGGTTTGGATGAATGAAGGAGATGCTACCATATCTTTCTCACTATCTTCTAGAGTTCATGATCACTGTTGTTTCCCATTTGAGGCAAATAAAAATAAACAATATTTCACTTCCCTATGCCCCTTCAAGTGCATGTGATCTGCTTTTGGTTCTATGGTTTGGTTGAATGAAGGAGATTCATCATTCTCACTATCTTCTAGACTTCATGATAGCTGCTCTTTCCCTTTTGAAGTCAAATAACTATTTTGCACTTGAAAAGGGTGTGCATATTGATAAGCTGGGCTGTTGACAAATCTAAATGTGTGTTAATAGAAATAGATATTGGGAGAAACGGTGGAAAAGCAACGGGCGATGTGAAGGTTGTGAAAAATTGAAAATATTTTTGTGGTGTCTTGGGAACACTTCAGTTTTATCTTATCATCTGTTGGTTTTAGTTATGGTGCTATTTAGGTGGCTTCCCATGAAATCTGGTCACACTGTACCAGTAGTCGTCATAGTTGTCATTTCACTGTGAGTTTTTAAATCTGCTTGCATATTCTTTGAGGGAAAGCTATGACTACATATGGGTACTCTACCTTCCATTCAATTTGTTAGTTGTCCTTGTGATATCTTTATGATTGTCAATACTTAAATAGCGGGCATATGTTATAATTATAACTTCCTTCGGGAAATGCTTGCTACTCCACCTATATCTTCTCTTATTTTGTTCTGCTCTAGGGGGGAATTAATGACCTTGATCGGTTAAAGATTTCCTTCAATACCACTGCATTTTGTTGCCCTTGGTAATTTCTCCTCAACCTTTTCAAGTATGCCTAATAAACTTGTGCTTTGCTCCATGGCAGCCGGATGTTGATATTGCGACTCATATACATGTTAAGGATGATGGACCTAAGAGGAGGTAGCATCTTCTGGCAGCTGTTTTCATATGGCTCACAATTACCACTTCTCGATTAGTTTAATGTTGATGAGCAATTGAAATTGGTGATGCAACACAAACTGACATGCCTGTTTTGTGGTTATTTCAGTATGCTGTATGTTGAAACAGCTGATCGATCTGGTTTGCTGATGGAAGTTGTCAAAATAATGGCTGATATTAACATTCATGTCGAATCAGCAGAGATTGATACAGAAGTAAGTTTCTTTTGTTCCCCTGTCGTGCAGAAGTGCATCTTACATTCGCTCTCCAAAAGAAGAAGTGTATCTTACATTCTTCCATGTTAGTTTCCTTCTCTTAGTTTGCCTCAACTTCACTTTTGAAAATGTATAGGGTCTAATTGCAAAGGACAAGTTCTATGTCAGTTACGGTGGAGCAGCATTAACTCGTTCTATGTCTCAGGTAACATATAGTTGTGAAGCGGTTCCTACTTCCTACAGTCTTAGCAGTGTTTCTTTATTGGGGCATCTTTTTATGATTTATAGCTAAGACCTTTCAAAAGCAGTGTAAACTAAATCCAAATATCGTCCATTTCCCTTCATTTTTTTTCTGGTGCTAACATGTCTTGCTGAATATGTCAAGTGGTAACAACAACATACCCAACAACATACCCAGTGTAACCCCATAAGTGAGGATTGGGAGGGTAGAGTAGTATGCAGATCTGACCCTCATGGAGGTATGGAGGTAGAGAGACTGTTTCCGGAAGACCCTCGGCTCAAGTAACGCATATCAAAACAGATTCAAAAGGAGAAAACAGAAGTAATGAAAACATTGCAAATAATAGGGGAAACATTTTAAATCATACAATGAAAAGGAACAATAACAACAACAAAATAAAACGATAATTGAGGTACATTAAACAACGTGTAGTCGCAGAAATCAAGGGACCAGAAACTACGAGAATAGTGCGAATACTACTGGTATGCAAGGAGAAACGTATCTCGTTGGACAATGAGATGACGTTCAACTACTTGCTAACCTACCACTCTAATCCACGACATCCATAACATCTTATCTAAAGTCATGTCCTTGGTAAGCTTGAGATGCATCATGTCTTGTGTAATCACCTCTTCTCAATGTTTTTTCGGCCTACCTTTTATCTCTCTTGAAGCTCACCACAACCAACCCCTCAAACCTCCGCACTTGGGCATCTACATCTCTTCTCTTCACATGTACGAACCCTCTCAATCCCGCATCCCTCATCTTGTCTACCACAAAAGCCACCCCACCTTGTCCTGGATATATTCATTTCTAATCTTGTTCTCCTAGTATACCTGCACATCCACCTCAACATCTTCATTTCCGCTACTCCCATCTTCAGAACATGAGAGTTCTTCACATTCAGCCGCATAACCACCACTCTGGAAAGCTTATCTTTAAACTTTGGTGGTACATTCTTGTCATACAAACTTCGAAAACAAGCATCCATTTGACCCCTCTTGCACTAGTACAGTGTGTGACATCATCTTCAATCTCCCCATTTCCTTGAATTGACCCAAAATACAATATGTCAAGTTGTAAGTGGTCAATAATATAAACATGGGGAACTCTACAGTGAATTGATGTAGGATAGTATGTAAAACCTGGAGATTACTCTGAGCAGTTAAAGGCTTTAACATTTTCATTGGTTGTGCTTAATGATTTCTCTTAGTCTCTTCCCTATCATAGCGTTGTTCTCTTTTGCTATCTCTAACCCCATCTTTGAACTTGCAGGTGCTTGTAAATTGTCTGCGCTATTACCTTAGGAGGCCTGAAACAGGTGAAGAAAGTTACTAGCCAGCGCGCATCCTTGTATGTACACTATATGTATAACCTTGTCTCCCAATCAATGCAAGGGCTTGAGTCATCTCAGTTGTCATGTAACATATTATGTCCGTTTTCTGATTGAGTCGTAATTTATGTTATGCATTTGTGACTCTCCCTTCTCGTCATGAATAAACTAAACAAACTGACAGGACTACTAATGTCATGAAAATGTGCACAATTTCTTCCGATTGTCCTTCTATCGAATGTAAAAAACACTAGCGGGATCAAAAGACATGACAGTTGTAACTTTTTGTTTCTTAATAGTTCATAATCTCAATAAGAATGAGCACCGGAAACGCTAGGTGATTTCTTTGCCTTCTTGTTATTGCTATTACTGAAGGATGAAGGCTTGAATGTATCAAAATATAATCAAATTAGAAGAGAAATTTGATTCGTTTCAGATAAAATGACATTGACATGCACGGTTGCTGTCAGCCTACTTGTCTTCAAGATGCCCAGGTGAAATTTTATTTTGACATCGCGATTTAACTTGTACTCATTTTAAAAATCTTTCTGCACATGGTATCCAACTTCAGAGATGTGAAGTGCAGGCAAAAACGGTTAGACTTCCGTCATTTTTGCTTGACTTCTGCGATTTATGTTTGAAGTTCAAGCAAAAAGGCTTGGATTGGGCAAAAATGACGGAAGTGAGACAAAAATGATTGAACTTCCATTATACGTACTTGAACTTCAACTATATAAAGTTGTATGAATGACTAAATTTTAAGAAGTAGGTACAAATTAAATGGCAGCATCTATCTGATGCAATCGAAACTTCGTAGTGACGTCTAGTCTCACTAGCCTCGTGCACGACAGCACGAGCGGTTGTTGTCATTATCATGACATTATTTTCTTTTGCTAACAATTACTTGTGCCTGAAAAGTAAAAAGCCACTTCATATGGCATGTTTACAAGAATGTTGATTGTAACTTAAATCATATTGTATTGTTAAATTCATTGTCATGTAATGGTGAAAAGTGTTGTTTTCTGTAACTATAGATTTGATGTGATTGTGTTATTGCCTTTTTTCTCTCATCTAGTTCTTATTTTTGATTTTTTAATCCTATTTTTTTTTATATAAAAGATAGCATTACAATGTAAAAACCCTCCATATTAATGCAGTAAATCAAAATAATGACTTAATAAAATCAAAGTTTTCTAATATCATTACCATGCCCTAAACATGATGGAGAAAAGATGAAGTTAAAAAGGTGAATATCTAGGTGGAAGGAGTTTAGAGGGGGAATGGTGGAATTGTATCCACCTAAACCAAGAGTTGTTAGTACTGATGATCATCCAATCCACGACCAGAAGTTCTGAAAAATGAAGTTGGTCCCCTTAGATATGATAAAATATTTGAAAATTTGGTTGAGAGATATGTGAAAGATGAAAAAAGTCTTAAAAATGAGTCTACCAAGCACAATGATTCATTTTTTTAATTGGAGTTGGGGAAGGGGAAATGGGGTTGGCCGGTTGGGGATTACAATGTGGGGAATCGAACCCTCACCAATATGGTGAGAGTTCAGATAGCCAATCAACTAAGCTACCAAGATTGTGAACACCCAATATTTAGGTTTGTAACTCATAAAATAGTGATAGTTTAGGGGGATTTTAACTTTTCACTCAATTTTTTTTCTTCATGTGTACTATGATTTGGAACTCTTGAAATGTGATATTCACGTAGCATGTAATATTCCTCGGAGAATATTTTAATATGAATTTATGATAATTCAAAAGATTTTGTGAACACCCAAAAATCTAGATATGAAAGTCGCAATACGGTAATAATTTAGGGATTCAACTTGTTGGTATATGCACAAGTTGGCTGACATTTTAGTTATAGAAAAAAGAAAGAAAAAGAATGTCCATCATGTAGCATTATCAATTGTTTATCATTTTCTTTTGCCTTTTGGGTTGGTGAGTTGTGAAAATATGGCTTATAATATTCATCTGTCTTTTAATTCAAGAAAAAAATTATTTCCTTTTCCTGGTGACCTTATTTTAAAATCATCACCTTTTGCCATTATCTTTCAAGAAGACAACATCAGAAGCATGGCAAAGCACTAATCCTCCATATCTTAATTCACAAGCAAAGCCTTTGCTTGTGAAGCACAACATTGTCCTTAAAGAATTACTCCCTCTGTCTATTTTTACTCGTCCAGTATTGGCTTGGCTCACTCCTTGAGGAGTGATAATTAGAAAGACAATTTTACTATATTGCCCTTATAATATAATGAATTCAATGTTTTGGAAAATGAACAACTATAATTAATAGTAAGGGTAAATTAGGAACTAAGTAATAAATTATCTCTTGATTTTTTCAAACCGGACATCTATTTTTAGTACAGTGGACGGAAAGAGTATTAGTCCTATAAAAAGAAACTTTTCTCTATCCCAGCCTTGGAAGACATAGTTACCTGGTACATATTGCTGATGGAAGGTGATATGTATCACGCGGAATTAGTCAAGGTGCGCAAAAGTTGACCGGGACAACATCAAAAAAGAAAAAACTTTTCTCACTTGAAATTCCATATATATATTTCTCAATAGTAGGCCAATTTTTTTTTAATAGAATCAATATTCACTAGGTTTCAATATTCTTTGCTACTATACATTTTTATGTGTCTAGATTCATAAGTTTCCAGCTTTTTCATTCTTGAATATTGAAAAATGATTCCTTCTCAAATGATAGTTTTTCTATTTATTTTTCTTCAAAGCTATACAAGCCTAGCATATGATCCTGATCCAGTTAATGATTACTGCATCCCAAGAACAGAGTTTTCTTCAATCTTCCTTTCTTGCAAGAATACATCACTTGTCACAGTCGATGATTTTATCTATTCGGGGATTAAAGATCCAGGAAACTTTAAGCATACTGGATTTTCATCCATTCCAGTGAGTTCCACTGTCTTTCCTGGACTGAACACATTAGGCATGTCATTTGTGCGCGCTGATTTTGATGTTGATGGTGTCAATGTGCCACATTTTCATCCGAGAGCAACAGAAACTGCATTCGTGCTCGAGGGGAAGATTTATTCAGGGTTTGTTGATTCAGGAAACAGAGTATTTGCTAAGGTTCTTGAGAAAGGAGAAGTCATGGTGTTTCCAAAAGGTTTAGTTCACTTCCAGATGAATGTTGGTGATTCGCCAGCGACTATTCTGGGAAGCTTTAATAGCCAAAATCCTGGATTAGTGAAAATCCCATCTGCTGTTTTTGGAACAGGAATTAAAGAGGAGCTCTTGATGAAAGCTTTTGGATTGAATGACAAGGAGATTGCTAAATTGAGGAAGAAGTTTGTTCCTCAATAGTAGGATAGATTATTGGAATATTTGTAGTTTCTGTGTTTCATCTCTTTTCTTCTGTATTCAGTAATGCAACTAAATTACCTTAGTTCCAAAAGATGCTCCATAGTTCTAAAGGTTGCAACTTGCAACATAAGCATACTGATAATTGGTCATCTTTTTGGTGTGTGTGAGTTTTGGGGGAGCTGAAATTCACGCTCACATATAGGTTAAAAATGATTCTTCTTCAAATCGATTAATTTAGGCCAAAATGATTAGAGGTGTTGAAGGACACGAATTATGGTAGAAGGTTAGTAGGTAGCAGTGTGTTGTCTCACTATCCGTTCATAGTAGTAATCATAGTATTGCTCCTGTAGTTTCTTGTCCTCAGATTTCTATTGTTTCTTGTACTTCGATTATCATATTATTATTTTGATGTAGTTACTGCTCAGTATGCTTTTCACTTCCATTACTTCTTGCTGGACTTGCTTTAGACTATTTTTTCTTGAGCCGCGGATCTATTGGAAATAACATTTCATTTCTACCTCTGAGATAGGGGTAAGGTCTGCATACACTCTACCCTCCCCAGACCCCACTTTATGGGACTACACCAGGGAAGTTATTGTTGTTGATTAGTTTAGGCCAAAACTATTCTACAAGATCCCCAGAAAAGAGTTAGAAATGTAGGCATTACATGCTGTTATAACATGATTATTAAGTATTTTGTTGTCTTCCAGTCAGAGATATAGTTCTGTTTTTGGTCATAAACTTGTCTACATCAGAATGGGAAAAAAAGAAAAGAGAAGGATCATTATTTCAAAGGAAAAAAGCAAAAAGGGTGAAAGCAGGCATGCTGCTATCATATTGATAGACACCATCATTTGATCAATGTTCAAGCTATTAAAGTTGAAAGTTTCTTCCCCACAAGTGAAGAGATGATGAAATATTCATGAACTAGTAGTGTTCTATAAGACTCGTCTTAGGCACGCTTAAGCCCTGAACTAAGGTACAAAAACAGGTTATGTACTTCGTCTTGCTTAAGTACGTAGTTCTTTAGTGTTGGCACCAATGCTAAGGTGTAATAAACTTTGGAGCTTTCTTCACTTTTTGCCTTTGATAAAATTGAGACTAACATAGTATCTCACATTTAGAAGCATCAGACATCAGTTGTTTACATAGGATACAACATTGAACACTCAGCACTGAAGTACAGTGATGAAAACATCAAGCAAGACTAAAAAGGAAAGATAACTTAACATTGAAAATAAGCCATCTCAATGATGACCTCCTAGCTATATCATTGTTACGTCTTACTAACTAGAGCATGACATTCAGCATTTCGTTCCAGGTATCAGGTACTCCAGGAAGGCACCAATGGCTACAATCAGATTTATAGTCTCCTAAGTGCTGCTTACCTGTTTGGCTTACAAACTTACTATAGACAGAAGGATGCCCGTCTCTTCGAAGAGCTGTCATTGTTGTTATATCCTGGAAAGATACCGGAAAACTCATCCCTCTTAGCACCTCTTTTAGCACCAACAATGGTTCTGGTACATGTGGATGGCTAAAGAACTCTAGAGGCTCCCTCTGGTTGAAACATTTCCATCCATTTTCCCTAGCGAATCATAGTAAAAGACACGAGATTGAAAAATCGTAACTGAAACTTTACACACATTCTATTCTGTAGCAATGTTGGATAGAGAACTCTATATTTGCAAAAATATGGTGCTCCGTTTATTCCATTTTATGACTCTTTTCTTTTTGTAAGGAAAATTGTGGTGTATTTCAAAAGATAATGAATATTGGTATTCGTCATTTACAAAAGGAGAACACTTTTTTCGTCTATTCCAAAAAGAATGACACCTTTCTACATTCAGAAAACTCTTCAACTTTAAACTTCTCATTTTACCCTTAGTCACGTGCTCTATAGTCATAGAAATGTCATAACATATTTAAAACACAAGTTCTAAAAATACCAGAAGTCATTTTTTGTTCTTAGGTTGTGTGCTCAGTCAAATACCATCATATGAAATGAAATGGAGGGAGTAATTAAGACGAGTACCTGTTATGTCGAGGTGACATGCTTCTGAAGAAAACTCGAGTTTTTCGAGGATCAAGATTTAAATCAATCCACTTAGCCCATGTCATTAGTCCTTTCTCATAGGCAACCATTGGGTTCATGTTTCTATAGAAACTGTTCCCTTCCATAATCAAGTCCCACCTGAAGCCAATGAAATGGTACAATAAGACTATGTCATAACCTCATAGGATTTAACACATAAAGAAACCGCCTTCGTATTTATACTAGTTTTTCTAGTATATATTCAAGAATCACATGAAGAAAATGAAATTTATCTTACGAACTATATTTATCGGAGTGAGTCCACCAATGAGCTGAATCAAAAACAAGAACATCAGCTCCTCTCCAATACTTTGCATTCTCTTCAATCATGTCCAGATGCAAAATTCTCTTGTTTTCTGGTCCTTTCTTCAGTTCTACCAAGAAAGGAGCCCAACAGAACTCTATTGTTGTCTCGAAATCCTTTAAAACACCGGTCAACCATTAGTACGTTTATCAGTTACGTAAGAGTTTAACTTCTATACACCGTCAGTATAAAAAATAAGTAAAAACTCTTACCATAGCATGGAAGGCCATAGTAGGGCCAACATAGGTTACTGTTTTTCTAGCCATAGGGATAACAGATTGAATTAAACAAACAAGAGATTCCCATTGATTCCTCATTATAGAATCACCAACAAGCATAATTCTCTTCTTCCTCATCCTTCCAAGAAATTCCAATGCATTAAACCTACATTCAACCAAAGGAAGTTAAACCATCATATGGATACTTTCCAACAATTCAACCCAAAAAACAGGAGAAAGGCCAAAAACATCTAAATATCTTAATTTTACCCTCCGTTATACTTCGGATCATTCATACCCTCATTATTCACAAATCGTCTCGTATTTGTCCTTACTTCGAGTAAAACGTTCAAATTTAGTCCTATACTTTAGCAGAGGCGGAGCCAGGTAGGGTAACCCAATTGTCTTACGACGGAAAATTTCACAGTTTATACATTGTTAAAATTAACTTTTACGTATAAATATAATACATGTTGAACCTCTTGTTTTTTTGTTCTTTTATATTTTGAACTCTTTAGTGAAAATGTTGGTTTCACCACTAACTTCAGATTGTAGCTCCGTTAGTACCAAGAGCAAATACAAGACAATTTGACAACAATAAAGGTAATCCCAAAGTACAAGAGAAAAAGACAGTTCGATACACAACATCCCGTGTTTACACAAGAACCGAGAAAGGGCCACACCCCAACGGAGTGCAATTCAGGTCAGTGACTATATTTCACGGCTCACATGTAGACAACTTTACCATTGCTCCAAACTCCCTTCAATAGGCCAAAATATAAAGAAGATTAAAACTTAAAATACTTTTGCATGCAAAGGTGGTTTCACACTAGTGGTCAATAAAGTGAGCTGACAACTCGAGATGCATACAAATACAAAAAACACTAACTTTTACGAGTAATTACTTTTCATCTGTCTTAGCCTTAGTGCCATGATACCTGTTGACTATCTCGAGATGCACGCAAGCTGGTTCGAACATCACAGTTATTAAAAATAACTCAAAATAGGTAAGAAGACATTTTAAGTACCTTGGAATTTCACAATCATGTGGTTTCCACCTCCATTTTTCATAATCAGAATCAGGTCTGCCATTTTTGGTACAAGTAACAGCAGTACTAAGATAAGGACAACTTGAATCATAAAGAGGATAACTTTGGTCAAAAACCCATTTCCCAGAAGTGAAATCACATTTTCTCATAGAAGAATGTTGGCTATGAAACATTGAAATTTCATCATCTTTGTCATCTAACCATGTAAGTTCCTCCAACTCATATTGTGATAAAATCCCATAAAATAAACTCAAAATAACAACAAAAAACAACAAAATGTGTAATAAAAATGAATTCTTTGCCATTAATTTGCAAAATTTTGGAGTTTCTTGGAGTGATGGCAGAGTAAATTAAACAGGGGTTTTGGATGCTCTTATCTATTGAGTTTTATTTTGAAAAAAGTTAAAGACAAAATGAGTTCTTTTTTCGCCATGACTGGCGGAGTGAATGGGTCCTATCAACATGTGGTAATCAACTTTTTTTTTTACTTACTTTCACTATAGTCATTAGTGATTATTTGTCCGATTATTGCATTATTTGTTGTTGATATAATTTATAAATGTGTTATTTAATTTGACATATCTAACATCTACCTCGTTCAATTTTGAGGGTGTATAAGTAGGGGCATGCGTTTTACAAGACATACAAATCAGATCGAATGTATCTCATGTGAATTGTCATGTAGGATGTGTATATCTATTTGTTCAATTTTATACAAATTTAAGAGTCTCTTGTGTACACACAAAGTTGGAAGACAAAGTTAAGGTCAAATTAAAGATTTCGTTTATGTATTATGCCTCTTTTTTGTCACTATCTTTTTACTCGACTTATTTACTATTATATTTCATTTTCATATTGATTTTGATACTTTTTATTTGAAATTGTTTTACCTTCCTAAAATAAAAGTAAAGTTATATATATGCCGTCCTCATCAAAATCGATGTATAAAAAAATTGAGTATATTATTGTTGTTATAATCATTAATAATGATTACCATTGTTTCTAGAGTAAGTAGGAGTGGTTAAGATGTCAAAATTCAAATGATCAATGTTTATGTCCTAAAAAGTCCATATAGGAGTGGTAAAAAATATGATCGATCGAATTTAATAATTTAAATTTAAATTATGTATTTGTGTCAGAATATATTGAACATGTATGAATTAATCATTTAGAATCTAATGATATAAAACTATTAAAATATTAAACTTATAAAATTTAAATATTGACTTAGTTTTGTAACTATAATCCGTTCTTTTTTTTTTTTTTTTTTCTTGTTAGGCAAACTTAACGAAAAGATGGAAAAACAAAAATAAGATGATACCAATTACGTATCATTTGATTTGTGAACAAGTTATATTGGATTATACAATGGGGATTATAATACCAAATTAAATAATAATGGGATTAAATCATTTCATACTT